AAAAAAAAAGCTTCTGGGAAAAAATGTTTTTTTCCCGAATTTTTCTGGTTTTTTTTCCGGGCCTTCACATCTCTAGTCACAACATTGCCTGACCCCCTGGTCCTAAAGAAGCCAGGCTGAATGTCACCAGAACCAGGGCTTTCTCAGTGGTGGCCCTAAACAGGTGGAATGAGCTCCCGGAGAATATCAGGGCCCTGCGGGACCTTTTACAGTTCCTCAGTGCCTGTAAAATGGAGCTCTTCCACCAAGCTTTCGATTAGGGGCTGCCACTGATGAGTGTGCCCTGGAACATCATCTGGTCTGAAATTTTAGAACACCCTTGGGCCTGAAATTCCGCTGGACGCTGCCCCTATCGTTGGATGGGATTTGGATTACCACAATTTCTGTTGGGTTAATTGCAACTGGTGTTGTTTTATCTGGTATGCTATTTATTAATTGTTTTAACTTGGTTGTTTATGCCATTTTAATGTTGTTAGCCGCCTTGAGCCAGATATCTGGTAAGGCGGGATATAAATATAAACAAAAAATAAATAAATATCTTGAGGGGAGGAGCCAGTGTGGAGGGATGCTTGACTCGTTCTCTGCCTGCTGGTTTTCTACAAACAAGAACAAATAATTGTTCCTGTCCCTGGGAAAAGCATCCGACCTGTCTCAGAGATGGAAATGGAGCTGGGGAGGGGAGGATGGGCTCTGGAGGGGGGGAGAGGAATCCCCACCCACCAGCCCCCTTCTCAAGATTACAGTCTCCCAGGGCTGTTTTGAAAACAGTCGCGTGTGTCTGTGTGTGTATGGGATGGTAGTTTGGGCCTGACAGATACAAACACCAGAAGCTTTTCTCCCACAGAACCACAGGGATAAAGTTAATGAGATGTGAGTGGTCGGCAGAGCCTAGCCAAACAGGCCTAGGGCCAGAGCAGAACAGGGGTGCCTTGTCATTGGATGCTGGCAACATCTGGTGATCACGGATAGAACCTAGAGGGAAAAATATTGACTTCTGTGTTTTCCAGGCCCCCCTACCAGTGTTCCCTCTAAGCTGAGTTAGTGTGAGCTAGCTCACAGTGTTTTAGCCTCCAGTTCACACATTTTTGTCTTAGCTCAGGAAGGATGGCTCCAGAGGAAACTAATTTATCCAGTAGCCAAATTGCTTGCGCACAGCGTTAATGCTAGTAGATCAGAAATAAGAATTTTTACTCACAAGACTCCACATCCTAGAGGAAACATTGCCCCCTACTGTCTAATCCAGGGCTCTTATCCATCCTGCAAGCAACTGGTGCTGTTCTCAGCCAAGGGGTTGTGGAAGGACAAAAAGCCCCCCCCCCGGGGGGGTTCGGAAACAGACAGTCTGTCAGGTCTTCTCCTCAGCTCTGCCACGTCTGTGGGAAATGCAGGAGGGATGAGAACTGGGGGTGGGGGGATCTAGGAGAGCCAGGCTTTTGTGGGGTCCCCAGTAAACCAATTGCTTTCACTGCTAGGAATCAACTGCTTAATCAGGCTTCCCTGTGCCCTTTATAAAGTTTGTATCTCCGGCAATGCTCCCTCCAAGCTGTGGAGTCTTGCAAGCAAAAATTCTACTTAGTGAGCTGCTGGCATTAAAGTTGTGAGTGAGCCATTTGGCTACTGCAGAAATTAGTTTGCGCTGGAGCCATCCTTCCTGAGCAAAGACAAAAATGTGTGCGCTGTAGGCTAAAAAACTGTGAGCTAGCTCACACTTACAGCTTAGAGGGAACACTGATTTCTCCAGTACCTGGCATTACATTTTGCGGCACACATAGCCTGGCCCGACAGAATGACACTTATGTCAGATCCCGCCCGCATAACAAATAAGTTTGACACCTCTGCCATAGCACCCAAGACCATGATAAAGACTGGGCACCTGTTTGCGGTTTATTTGCAATCTGAAATGAAGAAGGACCACCTGTGCCACCCTGAGCTCCTTCAGGAAATGGGAGGGTAAGAAAAAAATATGCTAGGTGCCTGACAGCCCTCTTTCACTTGCTGGGGCGATCTAAGAGAGCCAGCCTGGTGTAGTGGTTGGGAGGCCCAGATCCCAACCTCCACTCTGTCCTGGAAGTTTGCTAGGTGACCTTGGGCCAGTCACCCCCTCTGCCTAACCTACATCACAGGGTTGTTGGG